CCGGACATGTCCGGGAAAAAACGGACGTATGGTAACCCTACTTTTACAAAAATACAATATTGTACTGGTCATTGTATAAATTTGATTTTTCTCAGTGTTGTCTTTGCTCAAACATAAATGAATGTAGTTGCCATGGTTCATGGCTTTTGGACTTCCTTCTCTGTCTGACCCAAATACATATTATTTAAGTATAAATATTTTTCTAATTACATGTGATCTAATATTTACTTACCTAAATATTTCTGTTTATATAAAATATAATGACCATGAATTATATTTTGTTGTTATAATGTATTTTTCATTTTCATTTTTAGGGTGAAAATGGCCTTCCTGGATTGGATGGGATTTCTGTAAGCTATTTAATTTATTTTTGAAATCATGTTTTTATGAGTATTACTGAAAAGGAAAATAATACTTTCATTTTTAGGTCAATTCCCGCACACTATTAATTGTTTGCATTAATCAGCTTAGGCACATTTCTACTCAGTGGTCCAAATTCTGATCTCAGTAACATAAGTGTAAATCCAGAGTAATTCCACTGGCTTTAATTAAATTACTCCAGATTTGCACCATAGCAAAGGAGATTGGATTTTGGCCATACCTGCAGTCAATTTTACATTTAAAACCAAACACCCTTCTAATGCTAAACTCTGTAACAATGATTTTCCAGATAAACAAATGCTGATAATGTCAATGAATTGTCATGTGTTTTAAATTAGATGCATTTTCCCAGGGATATTGTGTATGATGTTAAGACACACCCTGCCATCAGCTTGTCAGGATTTCATGAGGAAAGTCCTGCTCATTCTGTAGGCTTTTTAATCTGCTCTTCCTTGCAATTCCCATTCCATCACTGAAGAAGTGAAAGGGACGTTGCCAAGTAAAATTTGGCCTTGAATTAATATTTTGTAGAAGCAAACTTTTATCAAACATAAGACTAATGGAAATGGTTCCCTTATCTGTCACCATGCACCTCCTTCTTCAGATTTTGGAGGGAAAGTTACAAAATGGCAGAGCAGTGTCTTTTTAAGAGCCTAGTCTTGTGAAATGCTGAGCATCATCAGCTCCCAGGGAAGTACATGAATTTAAAGGTACTCAGCATCTCATCGAAGGTACTTGCTATCTCACGTGACGGACAAAATTAATGTTTGTTTTTGGGGTGAGGGTATTTGCTTTGTTAATGAATAGAAGCCAGTGTTGCATTCTGGTCTGTCTTCTTGTGTCTTAATATTTCTCTTGTATTAAATTAACTGGGATCAGGCATCAGTGAAGGGCCGATAAGAATGGTGACAACTAGTTAAATGGGAGGGTGGGACCTGAAGAGTTGAGTTCCTTAATACATTTCCTAAAACTTTTTCTGATAGGGTCCAAAAGGTTTCCCTGGCCCAGCAGGTTCTGTGGGTCCTATAGGATTGCCAGGTTTGCAGGTAAGGAAACCTTAACCTTTGTATTCAGTATTGTTAATAAAGTAGTGCTATACACAGGCATTTTTCCACCATTGCCCATTTTCATGTCCCTGAAATTGTTTGTTTTGATTACCTTCGTAAAAATGGTGATTTAGCTATAAAAACCTGTATGGCTATTAAACCTAAGTGAAAATCATTGCCTTTGAAAATGTAATAAAAACAGGAACGATTTCAAATTTGCAATAATAGGAAAGCTCCACTCACCCTCTTTATCCACCTTGGTGAACCCATTCCAGTGCAGACTCACTGCATGGAACCTAATATTGGAAACAACATATGTAGTTGGCCTTGTAAGTACAAACTGGACAAGACAGCATGACACAACACTCAAAATGGGAGGAGAGGAAGTTGGATCCACTGTAGAGCAAAACTGACCATGTTTATACAAGAAGGGATTGCAAATGCAGCAGCATCACTTTTAAATACAGAATATTTTTGAATTCAGAGTATATTGCAGGCACTAGATTAAAACTTCTGCTCTTTGTATGGAGTATTGGTCAATAAGGCCCAATCCTGCAAACACATGCATGCTTGAATTTACTAATGTGAGTAGTTCCTACTCATGGTAGCAAAACTTTAAGCGTTTGAATGTTCAGGCCTAAATCCCCATGCAATATCCTGAAAAATCACCTTTGATAGGGATGCATTCAGGAGACTAGGATTTCAGTTTGGCTCGTGTAAAAATGCAATAAACTGCAACAACACCTGTCATTTTTTGAAACGAGTACAATTTGGGGCCATAGATGCTGGAACTAGGGATGCTGGGGGTGCTACTGCACCCCCTGGCTTGAAGTGGTTTCCATCATATACAGGGTTTATAGTTTGGTTCGATGGCTCTATACAAATTGTTCCAGCACTCCTTTTTGGAGCTGTAGTTTTCTTCAAATTGTTCATTTTAATTTATCACAATGACAATGTGCTTTCCTGGCCACTAAAACCATTGAAGGTCAAAGCCCACTGATGTCAATGGGCTTGGGTCATCCTCAACTGAGCAGCACCCCAAAATTATGTTAAACACCCAGACTTTTTTACATAGTTTGCATCCAAGTTTAAGTTAAAATAAATAAAAACTTTATCTTGTTCATATTTAGGGGCCAAAGGGTGCAATGGGGCCACCAGGACCAAAAGTGAGTACCTTCCCTTCATGTCTTCTTTTCATACCTGAGTCCTAAAGAGAGAAACTCCAGGTTTTTTGTGGGAGTTTATTATTTTTTATCATAGTTTCTTTTTTCATCCACTTAAATGTAAATATTTTATACCCTTGGTTGAAAGATGCTAACCCAGGCCAGGATTTAGCAAGTACTTATTCATGCGATTAAGTCCCACTGAAGTCATATGCTTGAGTGTTTTGTTGAATTGTCACCCTAAGAGCTAATTTGTCATCATCGTCATCTTCTTCTTCTTTCTTTATTCATTAATTCTTACTGTTTTTTCCTCAGGGTAATATGGGATTAGGTTTCCAAGGAGAGAAAGGTGAAAAGGTAAGTGGAACTGATTCACTTCTGTAGAGAACTACAAAAATAGTTATCCATAGTCCTACATGTGCCCACTAGAAATCTCCCCTTCAGACATGAGTCCTCAGCTCTGGCATTGAGAAATTCACTATCTGTTATTTGGCCCTGTGTTGGTAGTTCTCACAAAGGGGATAAACAAACAGGAGGTGACCTCCCAAGAAGAATTTCTACTAGGACACTTACTACCATGGTCAAGAATTCAACCCAGATATATTTAGAAGACAAAATGGAGTCCGAATAGGAGGAGAGTTAAGATTGCAAAGGGAGTGGGGCTAGAGTTTGGGAAGCATTCCTACAGCTGGAAAGGCAGTGGCGGATAGAGAGGAGAATGAGAGAAAATTCTTCAATGCCCTGATCCCGCATGATGCTGAGCATCTCCTGCAAGGAAGGACTCCACTGAGAGATGATGGCCCTCAGCACCTGTCAGATCCTTATCCTTCGTTCCATTCCATTTCTTAATTTAAACCCTGTTAATTTAAACCCATTTAGCTTGGTGAATATAATGGGTCATATTCTGGACTGACATAAATTCTGTACAGGCCCATTGTCCTTGGTGGGATTTACCTGGCATGCACACAAGTGCAGAACTTGACCCGCTAGAGCCTCGCAGGGAGAAATTTTTCAAAAGTGCCCAGCATTGGCCTGACTCTGCTCCCATTGTGGCCAGTTTACCTCAATGGGACCAGAGTCAGGCCAACACTAAGTGCTCTTGAAAATCCCACTCTGCCCAGTTGTTGGGAAGCGTGGGGAGTGATTACGTGATTGGGCTTTTTCCTTCACTTCTCCTCACATCATCTGCTTCATGATGTTTTGTGTTTGTTACATCCCAGTCTTTCTAGTTGCCTTGCCTTTCTGTCATTCATTTTCATCTCTTCTGTATCTGGCTTTAGGGTTTTTCTTGTGTATTTTTCTGTTTGTTCGATAACTGACCTTTCTTTTTCTTACATGCTTTTTTACTTCACACTACTTTAATACAATGCATTTGTTCTTGTTAATTTGCAGTCTGACCTTTTGGCTTTCATGGCTAAGCTCCCACATCAGCCTTAGTACTTTATATTGTGCATGCAAGGCCTGAGTTGAGTGGCTTTCAGTGAATCATGGGTCACTCACCTTAGATCTAAGATGTTCTGCTTACATTAATATCTTCCCCAATTGTCAACAGGGAGATGTCGGGCCAACTGGCCCTGCAGGTCCACCACCATCCACTGGGATACTAGAGTTCATGGGATTTCCAAAAGGGAAACCAGGAGTAAAGGTTTGTAAACTCAACTCTACTGGAAACAATGCTGAATTTTTCCTTTCCTTGATGCTAAGGCTGAGTGAAGCAGCTAGACAATCCTGGGGCTATTCAAATCCTGCATGGATTGGTTCCCGAAGGTGTTTGCAGACTGAACTTTGTGACTTGGTTTGTGAGAGGATAAGAAATGAACTTGTCCCTGCAGGTTCACTTAGAGGGTCAAAATATGGCAGTGAGGGGGGAACATTTCCCTCTTCTTGCCCACACACATGGGCTTTCTCTCTCATTTCAGCCATCTCCAACCTCAGAAAGATTCTTCAAATAGAAATAATTCTCTGTGTAAAGGAATACCTCTGCATCAAAACAAGCAGCAACCCATTTTCCAAACACTGGGCCTAATCTGATGCTCATTAAAGTGAATGGAGATACTTCCAGTGACTTCAGTGGACAAGGGTGCAGACCCAGCTTTGACAATATTTGTAGCATTTTTTTCAGTAATTGGCTACGTTTGCTCAGAGTTGAGACACATGTTGTGGGAAATATACTATTCAACTTCTGTTCCCTTGGGAAAGGCAAAGATTAGCAACTTGTCTTGCCCTCCTGTGATCGTTTTGGATTGTAAAACATGGGTTGTTTGCCTGGCGTAAAAATGAAATTTGGTGATTATATCTCAGTTTTTGTTGTTGTTTAAAGCCACCTGTTACACAGTCCAAGCTAGCTGTGCTGTATGTTTCTGCAGCTCTACGAATGATTAACTGAGCTAGGATCTAGTTTTGCAGGTGAATAAGGACTGATCAGTACTTTTCTGCACTACTTTGTAAACTGACTTAAATCTTTTTGAACTGAAATCTCCTGACACTTGGTTCAGTTCATTACGGTGGATGAGAGAATCCAAGCCTCCCAGAAAGAGGAATCTTAAGCCTACCTAAGTTCTAAATCTTAAAAAATGAATGCACAAAATTAAGAGCTATAGCTCATTTCTGCTGGATCTGTGAACTGTGAAACCGCATTAACCCAAGCAGAAAACCTAATCCTCTTAGAAAAATAAATAAGGAAGAGTGAAGCTGTAGCTCTTTTGTTGTTGTTGTGCTGCACGTTGGTCAAAAATAATCAGATTCATGTGCTTGATTGTACTATCCCAGACAATTATTGAGATATATATTTAGCGCATCAGTATTTCTATAAATATAATAAGGAGCTGGGATAAATCCTGCAGTCCCTACTCCAGCTTAACTTCCAAGGACTGAGTGAGGGCTGCAGTTTTTGGGCCCTAGATAGTCTCATTTGGGGCCTCATTCTGATCTCACTTCTAACTATATATCAGGAGAAACTCCTTGTAGTCGGTGCGAGTTCGCTGGGGTGAGCTCAGACCCAGACCTTCCTGTTGGATTTCTCTGCCTCATTGTTGGTTGTGTGACGGTAAGCATAATTGTGAAGATGTATGTTTGTAAGGCTTGATCCTGCCCAAGCTGATCACCTCCCAGGAGGTGCTGTGCACACTCAACTGCTATCAACTTCCATGATAAATGAGGGTGCTGAGCACTTTGCAGCATTGGCCGCTGGGCTTGGAGTTTTCCTTCCAGCTATGGGCCTCCATCTTATGAAATCATCTGACTGAGGAGATGAGGGTGCACTGGGTGACTGTAGATTGTCCATCTCAATGTGCACTTTCAGTGAGCAGGACAAGCCTCTTTTTTTCATCTCATCCCTTTTATGACTCATTCACAGTGTCTGTCCTTTCCTTGTTGGCAGGGTGAGCCGGGCCCTAAAGGATTCCCTGGGAGTAAAGGATTCCCTGGCCCTCTGGTAAGGCTGATTTTTAAAAAATATTCAATGTTAATAGGTGCTAGGTGCCTTGGTGCATTTGAAAATCCCACTGGTTGCCGATTTGTATCTTTAGGCCCCTCCAAATCTTTGAAAATCTGGTTGTAATGCCTGTGGGTTTTGTCCCTCGAGTGGAAATGTATCTGGGGGCTCTTTCTTACACAGATATTGAGACAGTGGTGCTCTTGTGCAACGGATATTACAGTCACTGAAATGCTTTAATTTCGTACACTGGATCTGCAGTTTGCAGAGGCACTGAAGATAAAGTCATCACAGCCCTTCACGTGGCCACTAGATGGCACCATCTCTTAACATTCCTTTGCTGTTACAATACACTAAAAGCGCTACTTTCGTCTAATGCTACTTAAACATAACTTTTCTTTATTTAGTTTTAAAGTTACAATGCACTGAGCTTTAATACTCAGTAACTCCATGCTTTGTAACAGCCCCCGTGTCATACGTGAAGAATAACAACAGCTTTCCTCTTTATCAGGAGGTTGGGAGGTTGTTTTCCCCAACCTCAGCCTTTTGTAAACACAGAATCTTTAGTAAAATTGAAGGGACAAATATTTTGTGAAGCTTCTGAAGCATAGAGTAAATTGTTTACAAATCGCTTCAATATATATATCGATAGAGCTGTGTGTAAAGAAAATTTGCACTGGCATCTGTTATTCTAAACACAGGTTTTTTTATTAGGCTTCTTAAATACAGGGCTTAAATTCAGCTGGAGCCATCCGGAGCAGAGCTCTGGTAAATATTTTCAAACCCATGGGAGCCTCAGCGCACCCCGCGGGGCAGAAGCCCCAAGATCCCTTGCCCCACAGCTGTTGCCTGGAAGGGTATGGGGGGCTCCAGGAAATAATCTCTGAGAATTTAAGCCCTGCTTGGACATATTCCATTTCCCTAGTTAAGGGAGGGAGAGAGAGAGAGAGAGTGTGTGTGTGTGTTTATCTTGAGTAGTCCTGTCTGAGTCAATGGGACTGCTCCTGTGTGTAAAGTAAAGCATGTGCAAAAGTGTTTGCAGGATTGAAGCCTGAGAAGTTCTTAGTCACTGCAGCTCTCACTGAAATCAAGGCTTGCCACACCCCTGGATTTGATCCCTATTTTGGGGGGGGGGCAGGGGAGGGGAGGAGGAAGAGAAGGGGAGTCCTTAAATCTGTTTTCAAGTGTTGAATGTGAAACTGCTGTGTCATTCCTTTTTACACTGTAAAAGGACAAAGGGGCTCTCTGATTCCTGCACTGAACTGTTGTTTGTCAAATTTCAACCAGCTTTTTACATCTAAGAAATAGATTTGAATCTACTTTTTAATGGCGGAGGTGATACTGAATTGCAGTCAGAAGATTCTGCTGTTATAGTTTATAGAGTTGGGTTTTTTCTATTGAGAGGCAGCATAGTCCAATGCATAGTTTGCTAGATTGGGAGTTTGGAGACAAATTCAGTTCCCAATTTTGCCACTAATTTGTGTGACTTTGTGATCTTTAAATTCTCTATGCCTTAGTCTCCTCATCTGTAATTAAAGTTAATGATATTTACCCAGGTTCCTAAAGTGTGTTGAGATTCACAAAGTAGAAGTGCTGTGTGAATGTCAAGTAACATGTTATGATTCATTAAGTTATTGTATTGCTGTAACTTCTGTTCATGGAATTATTGATGCAGTATCATTGCAGACTTCTTCTCCTTGAGTAAGTCAGTGGGCAGCATTTAACATGGCACTCAGATGATTGCTAATGATCTCTCCTGGCACAGGACCCAGGGAGTAGAAGATGCACCATGGACTCACAGTGCTTCCATTGTGCCTTAAGGTTATAAGTAGGTAGGATTGGTCTGTAAAACTTCAACAGAACAGTCCTCCGTTGGAGAATGCAGTTTTGTTGAAATGCTTCATGGACTTGTGTCGATTTACCTGAAATTCCATTTTGGGGGGGTGGGGGGTGGGAAGGGAAGAGTTCTGACAATCTCAAAACATCCTGCTTGGACTTCTAAAAAACAAAACATTTCATTTTTTCCTTCTCTCTGTTTCAGAATGTATTTCTTTTGTTTAAAAAAAATCAAAATATTGTGATTGTTCCAAAATTAAGCAATTTTTTGGAACTTTCTTTTGCAGAGAATTTTGACATTTTTAGGTTTTGTTCCTAAATGGGAAAAAAATCAGATTTCAAGATATCTAAATCCTCCTGTGATGCAGCGCTGAGCAACAGCTGCTGAGCCAGCCCTTTGGTCCCTGCAGCTCTAATTAATTACTTCAGAGCAAACCTCATTAGGAAGAGCTAATTGACAGGCCGAAGAGAACTAAGAGACTAATTAGACCAGGAGGCAGATAATACAAAAGGCACAGGAAGGAAGTAGGATGGGAGGAAGCAGATAGAAAGTGGGGGAGAGAGATTACTCTTTGTTGCTTGCCTCTAGAGCTGAGGGCTCCCTAGGTCAATGGGTTTAAGACTGTCTAGTGTACAAAGGTGGGGGGAAACTATTGTAAATAAACTGCATGGGGTGTTTTACCAGAAAAAGGTCTCTGAGCTGTTTGTGGACTTGAGAAGAGACAGGAGCGAGCAGGGCCTTACTACATCTCCACAAAATGGAATTTCTGTTTTTCCATCCAGGTCGAATTAAGGGAAAGGGGCCCAAGTGGCAGCAGGAAAACACATGACTCCATCACAACCAGGGTGCTTGCACATACTTCCAGCTGTCTGTGAGGAAGGGTTTTTTTCTGGGGCTAGGAGGCCCAGTAGAGTGTCAACTCAACCTTGCTTCTCTTGTATATGTTTGTAGAGAGTTGATACACTCACCTCACCTGGGGGCTGCACGGCATTTGTCTCCAGATAGATCTGGGAGTTAACGTATGTGACTTTGGCTTTTTCCCACAGGGCTTTGGGGGTATTGGCGAAAAAGGAGAAAAGGGGATCCCTGGCTTACCAGGTGGCAGGGTAGGTAACTTTACTGTGGCCTTAAATCCCTGTTCTTGACAAGAGACGTACAGACGGGAATGTTCAACTTGTTTGTAAAGTGTCTTTATTTGTATTATCATAGTGCCGCGGAGTCCTAGTCATGGACCAGGCCCTCGCTGTGCTAGGCACTGTGCAAACACAGAACAAAAAGATGGTACCTGCCCCAAAGAGCTTCCAATCTAAGTGTCAGGCACAAGACAACAGATGGGTACAGAGGGATAGGTTGGAGAGTTCAAGGAAACAGTGAGACAATATTGGTCAGTCACCAACAGCCTAACCATTGGCAAGTTTTTCCACAAGTGTCACACAGCAAAGGAGAATTTTGAGGAGGGATTTGGAGGAGGATGGTGAGGTAGGTATTGTGGATGTTATGAGGCGCACCTCCCAAACATGGGGGAAAGTATGAAGGTGCTTGTTTGAAAACATAACAGATGAACAATGGAGGCTGGTGACACAGGCTGATCGGAGACAAGAGTTGACATCTAGACAGCAAATGAGAGATGGTTGGTAGGGTAGGGATACGCTATGAAGGGCCTTGGAGGTGACAAGTAGCTTATGCTAGATGCGGTAAAGAAGATGGGGGCGATGGAGGGATGCAAAGAGAGGGATGGCATGGCCCAGGTGACAGGCTGGGAAAATTATCTTTGCAGCAGCATTCCGAATGGACGTGAGCAGATACTGCTACTTGGCCATTCTTATTCTATAGTCCCACCTGTTTTCAACTCATTGCAAACCCCATTCCCCTACTTTGCGTATCTGCTCATTTATACTTCCAAATGTACATTCAGCTTGACTCTTGAGAACGTGCTCAATCCTCACAAATTCCATCACCGGAGCTTTCATCCATGCTGTAGTCATCTGGGACTCTAACTACAGCAGTTTCCTCCTCGGCCTTACAAATGACTGACCTTTGAGATCAATTCACAAGCAGAAGAATAGGGCAACTGATATTCACAATGAACAGCTCTGTGACCTCCAGTGCTGAGCACCTCCTGTGAGGTTTTGTATCCTCAGTTTCAATGGAAGTTAGTCAGAGTTGAGGGGACTCTGCTGGCAGGATAAGGCCCTTGGGGTTCCTTTTCTCATCTGGGCAAGTTTGGGTGCCTTTGCTCCATAGATGTGACCACAGCAGTAGCTCCAAACATAAGAAATGTCATGAGAAAGAAAAATCCACATGCCTCCTTTCTCTTTGATTTTAAATTTTAACAATCCCACATTCCTGTTTTCTCCAGTATCCATTGTTTTTCTTCTCCTAAGAACATAAGCACCAAACACACTGTATATTTGGAGTCCCTCTCATACAGGACTCTTTATTCACTAGTCTTCTTTTGTGCAGGCATTGATATTTGAACTCATAGTGTTTTTGCACCTGCAGTTTAGGTCACTTGGATTTGCACCCTCCCATGGATTTAAAAACTGGCTAACTGATAGGTCTCAAAATCTAATCTCTGTATATCAGTCTGTGTTGGAGATGTGGTTAGCCACCCAGCCAAGTCACAAACGGAGCTCTTCTGGAGTAGCAAGAGTCCAAACTAATAAATTCCAACAAACAAACAAAAGGTGGTTCTGCCCTTTGGGGCTTCTGTTAAGCCTGCTCTCTGGGCCCTGTTTCCAGACCCTTTCTGGGTTACCTTTAAGAGTCTTTCTGGCGCTGGTATAGAGCACTTGGCCCCAGGCTGCTTTCCCTGGTGTACCATTCTCAGACCCTGGCTCAGAGCCTTCCACAAATGCCTGTCCTTTCCCCATGGTTCCTCTCTACATGACCCTCCTTACTCCCACCTCCTCAGGCTGGGAAGCAGCTAATTAATTATGGCATAGGTGTGGTTGGCCTTCTCTCCTCTTAAAGGGGCCAGTTACCTGTGACCATGTCCCTTAGTGTGAGAAGTGCTGTTGGTTTGAGAATATATATAATATCAAACATGGTACTGCCAAGAGGACCTGCCCGCTCCCAGTCATGTGACAGTCACACAGCCATCCTTCAGACTACCGTGAACAGCCTGCAGAGATGTGCTTTTCACATACAACATGAAGACCAAAAGGATTCTGCTGGTTTTTGTCCTTCAAAAGTTTGAAATTATTTTTCAAGATAAAAATGACCCATCTCTTAGTTTTACAATGTGAAAGTCGACACCAAGTTTTCAGTAAGTTGAGGAACCAGGACTGATTTTGTTTATAAGCACTTCAACTGTGCTAAATATGACAATGGTTACACAAGATGAGACAAGTTTTGGCCTTCGTACTATTGAGTTCTTCCAAAAATGGCTTTTGATACTCAAGTTATTTAGGGTGAAATCCTGACCCTATTAACGCCAATGGCTTTGCCATTGACTTCAGTGGGGCCAGGGTTTCACCTTTAGATGTTAAGTTCTTAGGAGCAGGATTCATATATTTGTGTGTGATCGTACAGTACCTAGCATAATGGGACCTAAACCCGGTTGTGACTTTTGAGTATGAAAGAAAGATAAAGGTTAAATAACACGTATTTTGCTGTTTTAGGGATTTCTGGGATTGGATGGATCTGATGGGATTCCAGGGAAAAAGGTACCAGGCTTGTTTAATTTTGGAAATACTTTTAACGTCTCGAGAAGTCATCTGAGTGCCTAAGGTCTTCTCATATTATCCAATCTCCTGTCCTCCTTAATGGGCTCCACGTCAATGTCCCAGAAGGACATTGAGAGTTGGCCAGAAGAATGTCTGAAAACCAATGTAAGATTTTCTCTCCCTAACCATTTTCCCCACCAGAGGCTTAGAAAGTATCCGCCACAGAGATTTGAAACTGTACACTCCCTCCTGGTGTAACCAACGTTCTTACTTTTCAGGGCCATCTGTCACATAGTGTCCTGCACACTGGTGCAAATGGTCAGTGCATTAAGTATCTGAAAGGCTGTGATGGCCTGTGTACCCTCAGTTGTACCAGTGCAATGTGATCACAGAACAGCTATCAGAGCCATTTTTCACCAGCTTACATGTAGGCACTGAACCCTCGAAGATGTTGGCAGGTCCTTGTGGGATGGGGCAGGTGTAGGTTGGATCCTCACTGCTTTCTGGTCTAGCCCTGTTTTCACAGATACTGTATGTGAGAGTATTTCCCAGAACACTTTAAAGTGAATGGTCATGAGATAGAAATGAGTCTTGAGCAGCGGGATTCTGAACCGTGCTGTTTATGAGGTGGTCTGTGGCTATCCAGGAATTCAGGATCACAGGCTGGGACAGAACCCAACAGAATTCTCTATGAGAATTCCCTTTAAATGCAGCCAACGCTCAGCTTATGACCTACATTGGAGCAGGTTTGATAGTCACTCCAGTAGAGGGCAGTAGTGCACTTGCACACTAGTCGTGCATCATAAGGCCAAAGGGAATTTTGGTGGCTCTGTATCAGCAGCAGAGTCCTCTGAACCATACACAGTATTACCACACACTACTGGGAAATGGTTAGTCAATGAGATAAGACTTACCTGGTTTAGTGCAGGTGACTTGGGGGAGAAGAGGAGGCAGGAGAGAGAAATTACATACTGGGCACAGTTTGACGAATGCCCTTTCCCTCACCAACAGTCTCAGAAATTCTGTCAGGGCCCTGAGGATGACATCCTGATTTTCACTACTTCCCGTTCCACCCCATCACCGCTCCCACCCTTCTAGCTGAGTAGGCCAAGAAAAATGTCTTTTGGAACCCCAATATGTTGCTCAGTAAGAGGGCGTTGAGACAGGGCCGCTGCCGACTTTTTCTTCCCATGGGCCAATCTTACTGCTCCTGCAGACTTCCTGCAGGACAAGCGACTGGGACTAAGATTCAAACACAGGTATTGGAGAGCACTAAAACGAGGCCTGCACAGGCCCTCCTTTCTTGTTTCATAAGCTAATGTTGTTGTGTGTTTATTTTACAGGGTCACGTTGGTTTCTCTGGTTTTCCTGGGCTGGATGGAGTGCAAGGAATGAAGGTAACTTCTCCAATGGGAACATTAAAGAGCTGCTCCTATTACAAAATTTGTCGTTACTCCAGTCAAATCTCTTTCTTACTTCTGTATCATTGTGATGTTTTCTTTAATGTCAGTTTTCCATCTGCTTCATTGTCAGGGTAACTAAATTGGTGGTTATGGTTTTCTGGTGAACCCTCATATATTTTAAGTGAGTTGTCCTGATAATACTACGTTTTGTGTGTGATAGCTGTATGCTTCCTCGCTGGAGAGAAATGGGAGTACAGTCCCTTCTATATCCTTCAATCTACCCCAGTGAATCTTCGCTACGAAAGGAGTAGAGATACTGGTCTACTCTCAGAGCACTATTGCTGGAAGAGACAACAAAACAACATTTCATCAGCAGACACCATCAGGGCGCTAGTGATGAGATGCAGGGTGACATTACCAACTCTTGCTTATTTTAGTTGGGTGAAGTCAGGTGTGGCTGGAGGCTGTCATGCCTCACAAAGCTCAAGTTACTGAACTTCAGGGCTGAAGGGCCTGTAGATAATGACGGTTATGGGTGCTTTAGACATGCATGTATTAATAACAACTCACCTGGGCTTTTACCAAGGGGTAGTACAGAACGGTGTGAGCAGAGATGATGAACCTGATATTGGTCTATATGTTGGTTTGATAAATGATGTTTTGTGAACATGGTACAAGGATGCCAATGCTCTCTCCTGAGCTAGCAAAATGCAGGCAGGTAAGGGATAAAAGCACCTTTCCGTGGACAGCCGTTAGTTTTGTCATACAAGTGGTGTATAACCTTGGCTACACTGGCGCTGTACAGCACTGCAACTTGCTGCACTCATGGGTGTGAAAACGCCCCCCCCGAGCGCAGCGAGTGCAGCCTGGTAAAGCGCCAGTGTAATCAGCGCCTGCAGCGCTGCACGCTCGCTCGCAGCGCTGCAAGCTATTCCCCTCGGAGAGGTGGAGTACTTACAGTGCTGTGAGAGAGCTCTCGCAGCGCTGGTGGCGCGACTACACTCGCGCTTCACAGCGCTGCCGCAGCAGCACTGTGAATTGCCAAGTATAGCCAAAGCCTTAGTCATGAATGCAGAGATCATTAGGAAGAACAGAAGAGCAAAGGGAATAATTCATTAAAAAAGGAATCCTTATTACATCAAGGAACTACTATTAACTTCGCCACCAAGGCAGATCCCTGCATAGTAACAGGCACTCTTTCTTCCCTGCTTTCTGGTCTTTAAAGAACTTGAAAACAATATGAATCTGTTTAAATTTACAGGGTGAATTAGGTGAAATGGGTCCTCCAGGCCCTCTTATTTCTCTTGATAGAGAAGACGGACTGGTCTCAGGTAACTCTTTAGATTTTGTTTTGCAAAGTAATTTTAAATGCACCTATCTTAATCCACTCTATGTCCTTCTTATTTTTTTATGTTAATACAAATTTTCTTATCAACTCACCAGCACTGTTCAGTGGGCCAAATTCATCCCTGTTGTAATTACATTGACTTAGTGGTATTACTACAGGGATAAATTTGGCCCAGTGTGTGCAGCTTCAGAGTTTGCTGTATATCTGCAACTCTCCCAATTAAATGCAATGCTATCTGAATACAGGCAGAGTGATATGTTTAGAGCATGAGTGATTGACTGTGTTAGCATCATCCTGTATATCTGGAGCCCAGAAAAATATACACCACCCGTAGGCTTATTTCTTTGTAGCAATGCTATTAAGAGAAAACTCCCCCTTTTCTCTCTTGCAAATAAATAAATTGAATGCCTCTTTAGTATTCTCACTCATTCACTGTTGCTGGATATTACTGAGGAGAATAGTGTAGTAAATTCCAGGACTGAATAAGCCATGGGTGGAAACAACATCTGCAGCTCCATTGGTGAGAGCAGAAATTACACAGTCTAGCTTCTGCATATAGTGCTGTGGGGCATAAGATGATCACCAGTTGGTGCCAGGGAGAAATTTCTGCCTAGTGTTACTGCATTGGGTGAATAAGCACATTAAAAAGTGGTCTGCACCTTTTGCTAGCACAGAGCAATGGCCAATGTGGGAGACAAGGGAGCGGACTACATGGACTCTTCCTGCAGGGTCATTCTTGAGTTTTTCTACTTTTAATATTTTTGTCCAGTAGGTGTGCCAGGAGATCCCGGGACTCCAGGGACTCCAGGCCCTCGAGGAGATGAAGGAATTGCCGGTTTACCAGGCCTTCCTGGCACCCCAGGTCTCTCAGCTCTTGTTCAAGGTAAAACATCTGCTAATATGAGTTGCAAGTAAGCTGCTAGCATGCTGTTTGTCCATGTTTGTAGCTGTCTTTGCTTGTGTATCGACACAATTAATTGAACAGCTGTTGATTCACTTATTAATGGAGGTGCTGAAATCCCCACTTCAGGATTGTAGCATGCGTAACTTCACTTAAGCAGCCTTGGCGATACACTCTGCCAAGCACAATAGCTAGAATATTGTAACCTGTGTGAGGAATAGTATTTTATGTGAAAACAATTTAATTCAGAGATAGAGACAGAAAACCTGGGAGAACCAATATCTAGCTTTTCTCTCATTTGCCATGCAAGACACAGAGGGTTTAATTCGATGCCCTGGGAAGTCATTGGCATTGACTTAAGTGAGAGCAGGCTCAAGCCCATAGCAATTAGGGCATATCTCAGTGCATTTGTGAATATGCAACACAGCTGTGTTCGTGGCCTTTCTGTGTTTGTGAGTTCCCTGGCAAATGAGTTTGTTGGCAGTTTTGTTCACAGAAACGGAGAACTCTAAGTAAATATTAGAAAATCTGTTAAAAATGACTTTTGAGTGTAGGTTCTCACCCTGGAAACCCGAAGCTAAGAGATGGATGAGCTAGTCGTGGTACAGAAACAATCTGGTGTGTCCAGTCAAAAGTAATCAATGTAACCTGAATGTCACACATTGAACCCTTGCCCTCAAACGATCTACAGATTGAGAATTATTTGTCAAATTATTTTGCTCACCGGACAATTTGCAAATAGGAAAAAAAGTCTATATTTGTCAAATTATCCACTATACATTATTCACTCAGTAACAATAATATAGCTTTTATATTGTGCTTCACATTTTCAGAATATATCACTAGCTTGCTTAATTATTTATGCTCACTAACCAAAGTGACTTAACTAAGCCTCTGCACTAATGCAGTATTTTCGCTGGCCTAGGCAGCTGCCGTTTATAATAGTAAAAAAGGTGTGACTCTCAAAGATGGCTATTGTTAATAGTCTTTTCTTTATGTGCAATGATAAGACTTCCTGCATGAACATAATATCAGCCCAATGTGCAATGCTAATCTTCATAAAATGAAAAATATCTGGATCCACATGCTGCTGGAGAGTTGGCTAACTACATAGTATATGCCTATGTTTTCTTTAGGGCCACCAGGTCCCATGGGATTTCCAGGTATTCCAGGTACTACTGGTGAACCAGGAGACCAAGGGAGAGCAACAATTGGATTACCGGGCACTCCAGGCATAGATGGTTTACCGGGTATGCCAGGACCTCCAGGATTGCCTGGTCCATCACGTATGTAAATTTCTTAGACTTGCTTTTGTACAGGATTGAAATATAAACAAACAAAATAATCTTTTGGTGTGCTCTCTTTCTCTATATGTATATTATTTACCATTGAAGAATATGCATCTGTCTATATTAAGTACTTATATGGCCCCTCATGAGTGCTGGATGTGAGTGCCTTACGATCTGTAATGTATTTATCCTCATAACACCTTGAGAGGTAGGGAAATGCTATTATGCCCATTTTACAGGTGAGGAACTGAGACAGAGAGGGACTAAGTAACTTGCCCGAGGTCACGCTGGAAGTCTGTGCCAGAGCAAGGAGTTGAATCTGGGATTCCCAAGTCCTAGGCTAGTGCCCTAATCACTGGCCCAAGAAACAGAAGAAGTGAGGTATCAAACCTGGGGCCTCATACATGCAAGGCATGTGCTCTAGCACTAAACTACATGCCTCAGTTACATGAAGAGCACATACTCTAGCATTGATCTACGTTCCCCATGTACAGTAAAACGCCAGCTCTATCTACTCAGTTTGGATTCTTTCATTGACGAATGGGCAATCATCAGACTAGCCAGGATGGGCAGGGTTGGTGTCCCTAGCCTCTGTTTGCCAGAAGCTGGGAATGGTCAACAGGGGTGGATCACTTGATGATTACCTGTTCTGTTCATTCCCTCTGGGGCACCTGGCATTGGCCACTGTCAGAAGACCGGATACTGGTCTAGATGGACCTTTGGTCTGACCCAGTATGGCCACTCTTATGGTCTTATTTTTTTATGTAGTGATCTCCAGAAAGGATAAAGCATGAAAACCTAGTTATTTGAATGTTGCCAACAAATGTTGGGTTGCTACACAGCAAATCAATTATAAAAACTATAATGAAGTTACATTCATCAGCTGTCTCTTATTAAGATGTACAGCTTTCAGTCATTTCTTGTTTTTCCCCATGACATCATGGGCAGGGATGATATCCCTAGCCTCTGTTTGCCAGAAGCTGGGAATGGGCAACAGGGGATGGATCACTTGATGATTACCTGTTCTGTTCATTCCCTCTGGGGCACCTGGCATTGGCCACTGTCGGAAGACAGAATACTGGGCTAGATGGACCTTTGGTCTGACCCAGCATGGCCATTCTTATGTTCTTATGAGAACAGCTCAGATGAGTAAGTATTGTGGATCAGGATTGTCAGATAGGACCCAAAGTATAAAGATGCATCTTTTAGATTTAAGGATGCTGGCCTTTTATCTGTACTTTATTGCTGCCCTGCTTGGTATAATAACATACATTCTGATTCATTTTGCTTAGAAAATGAGTGATAAATGAAAAGGATTTAATTCTGTATCAGCCTTGTATTCTAGAACACTGCCTAGTATGCTGGGTAAGGAATTTGGTGTTTTGTGCTGATGACCTGCCTTCCTCTTGATAAAGCTGAACTTTCAGAACATGAACATGCGATGGATATTATGTTGTCCCTCAGTCTGTTGACATGTTATTGTCAGACAGTATTAAGTCAATGGGGAAGGCACAACCACTCCCTTATCAATAATTGACTCAGTCGAATAGGTAGAATTAGGCCCTTTCACTGCAGCTAAAAAGTTCATACCTTTTTGCAGCAGTTTTTTCATTTGTTTGAATGGAAGATTAGGAAAGTGTGTACTGTACAGTACAGGCAGTATCTCACAGCTAATGGGGTCCTTTAAAATGGCTTTACTGGATCTCCTTAAAGCTAGGACTGCCAATCACTTAATGTCAGATGCGGCAGTGTTTTGTTCTAAAACCAAGTTTATGTGGAAAGGATTTTAACAGTAATATTTTCGAATCAATTTTTCCCTCTGTTTTCACTTTAACCCAAGTTCCACTATCTTCCCCTGCATGCAGATCAATGTAGGGAATACTCCTGCAGTGGTGGAGGGGAAGTAGGGGGGAGGGAGCAGATTGTTTTCATCTCTAACTTCAGTAAGCCAATTTGCCTTCCAGTCTTAGTTATTTTAAAATAAACGCCTGGTCCCAGCACACTGGCAAAGTAACTGGGAGAGAGGCTGGGGAGCTCTGCAGGGGACAGGCAGTTGGGGTGGGGTGGGGGTTACAGTCCTTCACACGCGCAGCAGAGCCATTGTACAAACACTAGGTAACCCTGATAGCTCCTGTTCCCATAGACCTCAAGAGCGCAATGGCAGTGGAACTGCATAGTCACAAATCCGTTGATTTGCCCCCATTTCAACCTCTCTCCCCTCCTCCTTAAAAACCCTGTGCATTGGGGTGCAGGGAGTCCTGGCAAAGTATGGCTTCCCAGGGCATGTAGGATACAGCCCCCTCTGTAGGGTCCCAGCATCCTGCCTCCTCGGTACAGTGAAACCTCAGGAGTTCTATATCATCAGGTCCCAATGTGGAAATGGAGGCTGAGGAAGGCAAGGTTTGACCTGAATAATTTTCACTTCTCTCTAGACCCTCTCAGTTTCACCTTGATTTGGTCTTGTGCCGGTTGTTAGTTTTTGAAATAAGAAGTGTACCTGGCAGACCAAGAGAAAAGGAAAACCCCAGAGTATTAATACTCAGGGCTTCTTCTGCTGGTCTCTGTGGTACCCTACCAAGCCAAAGCAAACTTAACATGGACAACATTACGGTACTGGGCCAAATTCTGTTCTTCATGGAATTGAAATCAGTGCAGTCGCATCCACTTATACCAGAACTCAGTATGGCTCCAGGCCATCTGCCCAAAGTAGCTGTTATTGTGGCTGGCTAATGGAGCTGAATGAAATTTAGACTGCCCGTGCCTTTGCTGATATCCTTTCCTCCTTGTGTTTCTATCTGAAGAAATCCTCAATGGAGAACCTGGGGAACCAGGAAGACCTGGACAACGGGGAACACCAGGAGTTTTCGGACTAAAGGGGACCAGAGGTGAAATTTACCGTAACTTTCCTACCTTGCCGCTTGCATCGTCATTGAAACCTGTGCAAAATGGTGTGAAATGCTACCTAGCCAGAATGGCTTTACACTCACTTTGCTCATTTTGTACTCACCGATGACACCAAGTGCAAAGCAGTGTGGGAAGGTTCAGGCAATGGAGATCCAATTATCTGTTTCCACAGTGCCAACAAAAACTCTCTTTCACTCTGTTTTCCAGGGGATCCAGGTGATTGTGCTTGTGATGGAGGAGCCACAAGAGCTGGACCAAAAGGTGCACCAGGCCCTCTGGGTCCACCAGGAAGTCCTGGTGAACCTGGATTTAAGGGTTCCAGTGGAGATCCAGGCACTGTGGGTTCACAAGGGCTGCGAGGGCCTCCAGTAAGTCAGGATAGGATTTCTTCAGTTTCCGCCGGTTAAAGGAAAAAGTGTTGGTCTCGTGCCATTAGCCAAAATTGTCTAAATTGAAACCTAAAGGATTTTTTTTTAAATGATTGTTTCTGCTTGGTTGGGTAAGAAGGCAAAAAACAATTCGTAGAAATAAGATAAAAGCCCAGAAATGTCATCAATGCAAGGTGTTAGAGAGAGAAGGTCGTTGGTCAGAGCTCTCTATGTAAGCTCAAAAGCTTGTCTCTCTGCCCAACTGAAGGTGGTCCAATAAAAGATTACCTCTCCCACCTTGTCTCTCTCTTATCCTGAGTCTAGCTTGCCTACAACAATACCGCATGCAGCAATGCACGGTTGTGATTCTGAGAGCTAGTTAGAGTGGAGACATTTAGTCAACATAAGTCTGAATAGCTCTAGTCAAGCGTGAAGTAATGAGTATTGGGTTATGGGCTCGTTCTGGGCCAGAGGTTGGTTTGGAAATGAGAAATGCATTTGGATGAAGAAAAGATAAATGGTGAGCCCTTTGCCTGTTGGTAGCAGTAACAGTAAATGTTCCTCTCTGATGTAATTCTTTCCTAGCTGCTGCTGTAATGCCATTTTTAAGTTGATCTTTTATTTAAAAAAAAGAAGAGTGAGATTTTCAAAGTGCTGAGCATAGGCCAGCTGTGAGGACTTTTGAAAATCCCACTCTAAATGTTTCAGGCTAGTCCTGTCAGCTTCAGTGAGCTCTATGCATTTGTTGTTAATTTATTATGTAAATATTTTATCGGTCATTAATTTTTTTCCTGCTCTTGATGATTTCTGTGGAGTGAAGGCCTTTCCATGTATGTTCATATACCTGTTTTCTCTCTTTCTGCCTCCAGGCTTTACCTGGTCAACCAGGTTCTCCAGGCCTTAAGGGAGAAAAAGGGGATCCATCTTTTGCAAGAGGCAGAGGTCCCCGGGGGGATCTTGGTGCAAGAGGAGCCAGAGGGCCTTCTGGTATCCCAGGAACTCCTGGCAGAGATGGATTCCCAGGTTTACCAGGCCAGCCAGGTCCTCCGGTGAGTTTATACTTATGCAACAAAAATAAGAGTGCTTCAAAATTGTAATAAGAAGGAACAATGATAGTAAAATGGCTGAATTGTATGTTGCGATTAGGCCTGCTGTATGTGTCCAGAGATCTAAAGCTGTGCATAGTATTCATAAACTGACACTCTGTGGATAGACTCTATTTCATGTCATCCTAACAAGAAAGAAATGTCATAGTTTCATGGAGTTTAAGGCCAGAAGGGACCATTAGAGCATCTAGTCTGATCTCCCGTGTAAATTTTACTTGGATACCCCTATATTGAAGCCAGTGATTTTAGTTAGACTAAAATATTTCAGTCTTAAGGAAACTAAATTGTTGTTGTGTGCCACAGGTAGAGGACAAGAGAGACCCAAGTGCCGAGGCTCCTGCAATGGCAGGGAATTAATTAGATGGATAAATGATGGTGGCAAGCACTGCTTGTGTACGTATAAAGGAAAGTGCAATTCACAAACCCTGGGCTTGGTTTCCCACAGCAGCAGCAACCACATTGGCATGATGCCACAGCATCACTTGTGGCCATCAGCATCGCACAGGCTAACGATATTCCATCAAGCTGGTGGTGTTTTGAACAAGTCAAAGCAATTAGAATAAAGGGTCCTCACACACTTTTGACTCCGAGGGTGACAAATCTGGAGTGAGAGTAACCTGCTATAGGAATTCCAGTGCTCCATGTGGCCCAGGATTTGGGTAAACTGCCCCAAACTCCTAACAGCTCTTGGTTGCCTTTACGAGTTAACAGACAAAGATTTCTGTGCTCTCTTCTAAGGACTTGTCTTTGCTACAGTTTGCAATCCTCTTTTAACACATGGTAACTAGTGTGACCTATCATAAACTATAGCGTAGAGAAGCAACCGAAATGCATTTAATAATTTGAGACCTGCTTCTTTTCAATAAGCCACTTAGGCCTTATCTACACTACAGACTGTAATAATGTTTTCACACATATCAACTAACATGACGGTAAACTCTAGGGCACATGAGCTCTAAGTTGCCTTATTAAGTCAATTTCTTAGTCTTCACTATCTTTCAGGCACTGCTCCCATGGGAGAATGGGTGGAGCCAGAGGGTAAAGATTGCAAAGCAGGAGTCATATATGGGTTGGAATTTGAAATGCCCAGCTGGATGATTACTGTAATATTTACACTTACTTGCAGCTGAGGAGTGTTAAGCAGGACACTTTGTTAAGGAAAATCTATTCTCGCCCTTTGAACAGGAATTTCTCTCTCCTTCAAGATTAATAATAGTCCCTCAGCACATCTCTGATTACACAATCATAAGATAAACTATAGGTAACGTCTGAGAGAGAATTCTCAAGCTACAAGCACTACTTTAGTTTTAAGATTTGTTCTTTTTAAAAACAAAAGATACTATCTACCAAATTTTAAGAGTCGAATACTGAAACAGAAAACGCTGACCATGAATGTTTTAAGTAGAAAGATACAGCAAACATGTATAATATTTATATTTTGGCAAATATAATGTATTATGCAATGGTTTAAGTGGTAAGTAGAGTTTCCTGCATTTGAAAAGATTGTGAGCATTACATTTACAAGATTTCCATATACTTTATCAAACACATTTGAAACTCGCTGCTAAGAATTTAGGCTGGAGCCTTCTCCAGTAGCATCACAGTGTCCAATAGAATCACAAAACCCAACAACATTTTGGTGCACTTGTCAAAACTGTGGCAATGTGCAGTTGTTCCAGGTGCTCTTGGTTCTCAGTTGTAACTGTCTTTGCTATGTAGGGTGATGGTGGTCTAGGATTTCCAGGTGAAAAAGGCCTGCCAGGATTATCCGGCTCCAAGGGCCGGCGTGGGGAGAGCGGTCTTCCTGGCATTGGTTTCCCAGGTCCTAGTGGAGTTCGCGGCCCTGCAGGTGACCCAGGAATGGATGGCTTTCCAGGACAATCAGGTCTTCCAGGTCCTCCAGGTAGGCTTGTTAGGGACTACTCTCATTTTGAAAAGCTGCCATGCCCCTAAAAACCAGCCAACCAAAGAAATACTCCACTTCATAATGGGATCCTAGTATTTTCAAAGCAGTAAACTAGATGTATATTTTTAAATTATTTGTGGATAGTCTATAGACAGGTCAGACCTGATCCTGCAGTCCTCATTCACCCACATAATCCTGCTGAAGTCAATGAGATTACTAACAGGAGTGTGGACTACTCATGCCAGTAAGAGGGGCAGGATGGGGCTACTGACAATAGCTAATTTTTGTAGGAGGAACAATTTTATAGCCAGTAGCAAACCTAAGGTGATTTTCTGCTAGGGATGTGGTTAAGATGAAAAGCTTTAGATAAAGAAAGGTGTAAATATTAGAGCTACATATAATAAAATATGTGCAAGACTCAGTGACTAGGAACTTTTCATGTTAACCAAACACCAGGATCATTTATGACTGATTTCACTAGGTCCTGCCTGTATTTAGCAGGTGGTACACTACTGATGAGTGTGTTGCAAGTTCCACTCTGTGCCAATTTACAGAAGAATTGAGTTGCTATCGACCCAGGCTACAGAGCTCTTTAGCTCAAGCTGAAGAAGTTGATGCTTTTATAGCTTTGGAGGTTCCCCGGTTCAGTCCCTGCTGAGTCAGCCACAATAGCAGGCATGACATATGCAGCTTGAGAACGGTTGCGGGGCAGATGTTGTATGAGTTTGCTACAGTTGATATGATCGTACAGAGCTAGGTACACTTAATGACAAGTGAAGAATCCAGTAAATCTGGGCTTTATATGTGAATGCAATCTGGGCTTTATTTGTGCTATTTCAGATATGCTAGAGTCTGGAAAATAGTCTCACCATCGAACTATTGAACATAGGGAATATTTATGTCGAGATTTTAGAGCTGGTTTATTAAGGTGATTTTAACAAAAGCAATATCTTTCCTTTTCTGCTGCGGCTTTTTATTATGTTTTCCACCTTGTTTGTGTATATTTAACCTTCTGTATTTGTAATGCTTGTCCTATTAGTAATACAACTAAATATATTCATAGACATAATATTTCCCCCAAAACACTAGTCACTGCTAAAATGACATTGAACTGAATACAGTTCTTCTTCTGACTCCAAGTCTCAGGAGGAAACCAGACATGTCTGCAATGTGCACAATGAAAAATGTCTGTGAGCATGTTTGGCCTGTTGATTAAAAAAAAGATGCTTTCGATCGTGTGGGTTTTCTGACTTTGTTTAACCTGTGCTCCTTTGCTTGGCTGGTATAGGGGACTGCTGCTGCGGTGAGGAGGTTGGTAAAGGAATCTTAGACACAGAGGGAGGTGAGAGCTAGGCCTTAGTGGTTGTCAGAATAGCAATGGGAAGATTCCCCATTCTTCCCATCATTGCAGAGACCCACAGAATGGCATGTTACATAGCACCAGTGTTGCATTTGGTTGTTGTAATGGGCTGATTTATAATGGCCAACACTGGCATCCCATTTTAACTTTCTACATATGCCTTTTCCTGACTCGTGTCATGTGCTAAATGCTAAAAGCTCTGCTAACCTATAGTATGTGTATATATAGCTTTGCTTATTAAAACATCTCTTACAAGGGCTGCTAAATCCAGATTGCATCATAGGCTAACTAGAGGGAATATGCTTCATGCACTGACATTCACAGCCTCATGTATATTGGGTATCAAATGGGATGCATCATAAGTCAACACATTATGTGAGTGTTACATCAAAGCCCCGCTAACAATGAATGGCTTTTTTTGTAGAAGAGCATCTATCATCAGAAAACGTAGACGAGTGTGAATAAGTCATTAGCTGATTCAATTTACACCTCCACAGATATTTGTGTGAAAGCTGTGAGAAAACCATCTCTCCAATACTTGGAAATCATTGCATTTATTAAAAAACACTTTTGATGTATTAAGCTTCATCTAACATTAAAGAAATCTGCTTAGTCAGAACAAATAATTGCTGTTTACACTGCACTTGTTGGAAGGTTTTATGATGAAGACCAGAGAACATTTTTAAAGAGAGACATTGACCTACTGAAATTAACTTGCCAAAGGCAACATCAAGGAATTTTGCCTAAGACCACACAAAATGCAGTTACAGTAGATCAGATGAAAATTCTCATTTAAAAAATAAATGCTGTATTAGGACCTGATCATGCAAACCTTCTTGCATGTGCTGAATTCCTACTCCAGTGAGTAGTCACATTGATTTTCCTTGAGTTGCCTTCAGCTGATATCTTTGACTAGGGGATAGAGTGTTAGAACAATACTTCGGCACAGTTAGTGAGCAGTATTATGAAATTGCTCAGAAATGCTATTGGATTACCCATTTTGTGCCATTGTTGCAGTTCCCAGAAGCCTCTCACTATGTTTTCACAATAGACTTGTTCCCCTGGCATTCGGAGGCCATTGTCTGTATTGTGAGAACATAGGATATTAAGTAACTGGCGAGCACTAAGCCTTGGTTACTTCATTGTGCTATCAGACCCCAGAAATGTGAAAACCATTTCTTTAGCATATTACCATTGCCCTTCAGTTGCTCCAGAAATACAATTCCCATTGTGTTACCAGTCTAGTGCTGGCTAATTACATAAAGCATTGAATACTGTCATTTTCTGGATGTTCACTTAAGCAGGCCCTTAAAAAAACATGTGTTTGAATATAAAAATGTTAATTAAACTGCCCTTTCTGAGCTAGTTGATGGATTGGACATCCCCTTTTTGAAAAATGGCATTCTACACAATGCTGTGATTATGGAGGGATTGTTGGAGACGGATTTTAATTTTTGGCTGCCTTATAAAACATTCAGTGTCAGGTTCGGGAATGCAGAATGCCAGGATCTGAGCAAAGAAATCACATCTTTAAATGTTGCTACCCTCTGAACAGTTAAAGTAATCTCCTGTCTAAATGTACCTATAGGTAGGCAGCAAACTAAGCATTAACATTCTGCAACCTAAGAACTTGTTTCTCACATCTCTCTACCTCTGAATATAAATTAGACTGGTGAATGTTTTATTTTATGTATCTATTATTTTTGATGCTCCTTGCTTTAAGTCTAAAATGCAGGATTTAAAGCTGAGCTGTGGTACTATCTAGAAAGAGCAGTGGTTGGTTTTAAGACAGCATCAGTATGCAAGTGTTATTGCAAAGTTTTGTATGTGTGTTATTCAGGGGGTTAGACACCTATACATTCATTCTGTTATCAACTAATGCCTCGCATCAAGGTAAAAGTAATGAATTTAAGCACTGACCTTTGGTCTTCCAGTATCAAAGCAGAACATCTGTTGTTTCTTCTAGTACTTGCACAGCAGCATCAAAACACAAGTACATTAGAGCCCCAGGAGGTTTTCTTCCCCACCACCTTCTTCTCCTCCCTTCCCCTCTCCCCCCCTCCTGCACATTCAGCTTCAGATCTCATTAGCTGAGGTTAAGGGCTGCCAGCAGTCCTGATTAACTAGAATTTGTGATTTGGGTCATTTCACTCCCCTCTCCCCCCCACCCCACCCCCATCTTGTGATCACATGAATCAGAATCACAAAATCCTAGAATATGGAGTTGGGGGGGAGGAACTAGAGGTGGGGTGGAAAAGGGTCACCCAGTCTGGTGGAACTCCGATGAGATAAGCTGCTCT